ACACACGCGCGCACACACACACACACACACACACACACACACACACACACACACACACACACACACCCATCGCCAACGCCCGGCAGCCTTTGTGTCGGACAACGCGCGCCGCCTGCTGTCGCTGGACGCCCCCAGCGTGCTGCCCGTGAGCTCCCGCGCCGCGCTGCGGGCCAAGCTGGAGTGCGGCAGCGCGGTACACAGCGGGGCCATGGACTCACTGGCGGACGACCTGCTGCAGGACCACCCCGCGTGGCGCGCCAGCAGGTGCGGGCGGGGTCGAGTGGCGGTGGCGTGGGGATGTGTGGGGGTATATGCGCGTGTGCGCGCGCACACGCGCGTGCGCGTGCGTGTGCGCATGTGTGTGTGTGGGGGGGAAGGTACGTGTGGCTGTGTGGTTGAGCGGGTGCGCACCGGCGCGTGTGTGAGTGGGTGGGAGGGTGGGGTGCCTTCACCACCTGCTGGTGGTGAGGGCGCACCCAAGTGGGGCTGCTGATGTGGAAGCGTGGCACAGGCCGCCTGCTTGCCTCACCCAGACGCATCCCTGCACCTGACCCCGAACGCCCCCAACCCGCCACACCCTTCCCAAAGGTTTGGCGAGTTCGAGCGCTTCATATACGACTTCCTAATCGGCGGCGGCGCCGGCGCCGGCGGCGTGGGCGAGGGCCTGCGGCTGAAGCTTCAGACGCCGCTGTTCGTCGCCGACGCCCTCGCCGCCGCCGCCGGCCGCCAGATCGCCGCCGAGGTCGCGTCCGCGGAGGGAGAGGTCGCCGCGCTGTCGGCTGTGCGGGCGCAGCTCGACAGGTTCACGGCCGACATGGAGAAGGACGGCGCGGCGCAGCGCGCGGCGGTGCGGGAGCTGGTGGCGGCGGTGGTGGCGCGCGCAGACAAATTCGTAGACCGGACGCTGCAGATATCAAACGTCGGCGCCGCAGGCTCGTACATATTCGGGGGCGCCGGCGGCGCGTCGGGGCTGCCCGTCGCCAAGGGGTTTGATGGGGAGGTGGTGCAGGGGGCGGCGGACCAGATGGCGGGGCTCGTAGCCGAGCACGCGGCATGGCTGGCGTCGAATTGTGAGGCGCAGGGGGATTACTACACGGGGTACCTGGCGGCCCGCCGGCGCCCGCAGCGGCGGAGAGGCGGCGGCAGCGGCGGCGAGCGGCAGCGCGCGGCGGGTGAGGGCGCGGGCGGCGGCGAGAGCGGCGAGAGCGGCGAGAGCGGCACGCCGTCGCCGCCGCCGCGGACGGTGAGCGGCGGCGGGGAGGCGCTCGCAGTGGCGGTCGGCGGCGCAATGGGGGCGGCGCAGGCGGCGGCGGCGGCGGGCGGCAGCGCGTCGCTGCAGGCGATTGCGGACTTCAACCTCGCGGCGGCCAAGGTTTTGCTGGAAGAGGAGATTCGGGAGGTGCGCTGCCGCGGATGGGGCCCCGGGAGGGGGAGGTGGGGAGAGGGGGAAGGCAGGAGGGCCCAGAGTGCCTGCACGAGAGAGAGGGGGGAGGAGAGCCAGGCGCAGAGAGAGTGGAAGGGGTCGGAGAGGGAGTGTGTGTGGTGGGGTTGATGACATTCTACGTGGGAGCTGTGCTGGGCGGCTGGGCCCTGGTTGCAAGGAATGGGGGTGGGCGCCTTTGGCGGCTCCCAGCACTGCGCCTGGCTGGACGCCCTGAATGCGCGTGACGCCTGCGGCGCTTCCATGCCCGGCACACGGCTTTGATCTCGCCTGCTCATGCGTGGTGTGCGTGCTGCTGCTGGTGACATCGGTTGGGGGCGCCCCAACCACCCAGCATCCCCTCGTCCCCGCACCCCCCTCCAC